TTTTATCCCAACTTAATAAATGGGAGTAAAAATGAAGGAAGTCGACCATGACTGATCTCACATCTAGTTGCCATATCATGTCATATGATCTTTCAAAAGAAAAGAGATGAGACCAAGAAATGAACTTGTGTTTTGAAAGTTCATCAAAGCCGTCAGAAAAATAATCTTGAACAAAGAAATGTTTTTCTTACTCAAAAATTACCTGTTCCTTCGAGTCAGCGAAGATAAATTCCAGCCACCTATAGTATCACCATTCATTGATCTAAAATGGACGGTCATTCAAATGCTATATCAACAGCCTTCTTTTTATGTCCTTAGGACGTCCCATTTGCAAAGAATTACGACAAAGAACCCATAGTATTAATAGCAGCCGGTCACAATTCAGAGGGCAACAATTTGAAGCCAATATACATGTCCGTGACCCCATGGATTGAGGTATTCTCAAATTATTTAACTAATATACAACGCTCTTTCTTCAAAATAAGTAAGATCAAGCTGACAACCCTGTAGGAAATGTGCAAATGAGCTAAATTACACCAAGGTCTGTTCATGCAGTCTCTTTATCAGTCATAGTCGCCCAGCGAAAAGTTTTATCTATTTGTCCATCTGTTATTCAAGGTCAGTTTCCCAAGTTCTTTTTTTTGTTGTTGTTTAGATAGGAATTCAAAATGACTCAGTTACAGGCGTTTAAGCGAACTTCTCTAAAAGTTGAGCTATTACTGTTTGTTCTTGTAAGCGAAATATATGATGCTAGATGATATGCTTATTTTACAGCACATCAAGACCAGCGAATTCCGCATTTGTCTCAAGGAGTTGTTCGCTGACCAGCATGATCCTGTGAATGTGTCCTATACAGTACTAGCAGGTGTGTTAGTAAATGATTAAAACAAATTTTCTTTGCAAAGACTTTCTCATGCCCAGCAAGCTTTGGTAGATGTCAAGTAAACTTAGAGACTCCTTGTTTCATATCTCCTTTAAGTAATCACCAGTGAATGTATTTTCTTAGTTCCTACTTACTACAAGCATCTGTTTCTATTTCCAAAAACTACTCGGTCAGCTAAGGCCTAAGCCAAACGTCGAAGTTTTCATGGAACGAACCAAACTCTAATTTGAATCGACCTAACTTAAGTTAACTTTATAGGACGCGTGGAATCAATCAACTTAATCAGATCAGTAATAAAATTATTTTCTCCCGAACGATTTTATATACATTATCGAACAATTTTTTTTAAATTTATTAGTTTAGTCCTCACATGTGAAGATCGACGTTTGTCCCGGGGACGATCTTCGGACGCTCTGTCCGTCTGAACGTGTTGGACGATCCAAACTCATTCAGACGAACTTACTGAGCCAGGCGTCGCTAACAACGTTTCATGAACTTAATTCACTAAGTTTAGTTCGTCTCATGAAAAGTTCGACGTTTGGCCTAGGCCTTTTTTTTTCTTTGTTACGCACTATTTACTTCACACAAGGTGTTTTGTATATTGCAGATGTATGTAAACCGGGCTGGTCATATTTTAATGGTATTTGTTACTCGACAAGCCATTCGTGCAAAAATTGGACTGAAGCTGAGAAAATCTGCCAAGCATACAGCGGCAACCTCATCACTGTGCGGAATCAAGAAGAAAACGTCTATATTCAGCATCGGCTGAATGGTGCCAAGGGCTGGATTGGGCTAAACGATAGGTTAATTGAGGGTACTTTCGACTGGGCAGATAATCAAACCAGTAACTTTTCATATTGGGCGAAGAACCAACCAAACAACTTCAACAATGAAGATTGCGTTCACACTTTAGGAGTCAGACATAGTTTTATGTGGAGTGATGTAAACTGTGGTACTTGCTATAACTACACCTGTTCAGAAGGTTTGTGGGTGACTTACCTCTTTTATATACCAACAGGCGTTACTATTATTATTATTATTATTATTATTACTATTATTATTAGTATTATTATTAGTTCCTATTCAAAAGCAATTTCCGATTTGCCCCAAGCCTTTTTCAAAAAGAGATTATAAAACTACTTCCTCCAGAAAGGGTTTACTCTTGACCTCATTTTGAAAGTGTGGGTTTTCAGAAATCGAACATGGTCTACTTTCACGTTTCCAGGCGTTAAGAGTTATTTTTATTTATTTCATTTGTATTTTCTCTCTTTCTTATTGCCAGAGAAGATCCTAGTTGACTTTCACCAATTTACACCTTGATAACCAATAGGCCATTTGTACGATGACGTCATTTTACTACTACCCAGAATCCTTCAGGGTATTGCTTCCTTATGAAAATTAAGGCTTTTGTAATTTAAACCTCACCGGGATTAGCAAATTTAAATATGAAAGAAAAAACGAAATGAATTCTGGTCCTAGCAGTAAAAAAAGCGTCATCGTGCAAATGGCCCATTTCTCTGGCTTCTTAGCTCACAAAAAGTTTGAGTTTACTGTAAATCTGTTTGTTGCAGAAATAGTATAAATTAAAGGATTAGTCTAGAAAGAAAAATAGGCAGTACTCGTGCGAAAAAGGAAATTAGACGTCTCAAAAAGGATCCATAAGCTGGCGCTTTTAGCACTGCATTACCCCTTCATACACAACGGTTTTTGTGCTGATTGACTCATATGAGCAACGATTTTGAATTTTATTCTTTTGTTAAAAAAGTTGATTGACAATCGATCGTTTCATTATTTGTTTTGTAGGTTGACTGACTGAACGATTGTTTTGCATTCGTTTTTAAAATTAGATTTTGATGAATGTGGAGGAAACAATAACCATTGTCATCAGAACGCCATCTGCACAAACACTATTGGTTCCTATAGCTGCCGGTGCTCCGTAGGATATGCCGGTGATGGCTTGCTTTGCAGAGGTATTATGTCGAATCCCCAAGTTGTAGTTTTTCGTTTAATTCATGAAGCATAGTCATCAAAGAAACTCACCCAATGGTAAAGAGACATCTCTTGTGAGTTTAAGGCTAGCTTGCGGCGAACTTATTAGGTAGAAAAAGCATGCTTTTACCGTAAAATTGCTTGAAAATATATTTTTCAAATAACTCCTTAGAGGGGTTTAAATACGGAGCAGCGTATTATAGTAGTAAAAAAAGGGTTTAAAGATAGGCTGGCAAAAATTAGGAGGGAGATCTTCTGAGCAACTTTTTTTTTCCAGTTTCAGAGATGATAAAATTTGGACATTAACCTAATCTCTATGAATAACACTGAGCAATGAAGTTTATTAACTATCCTAATTTTATATTATAGAGGAATGCAGACCATACTATAGTTTTAAATACAGCCCAAAAAGGGAATTAAAGTACGTACGTGGATTTCCATACAATTTCAAAATCTCAGCTCTCGTAGACTGCGTAGCTTTCGGCTCTGGTTACAACTTTCTTAACAAACCGGAGCAGGGACGCTTGTTAGATCTCGTTACGCGGGCTTAAACTTTCGGGGATTCATTATGACAGGCTTTCTTGTATATGTTGATTGGGCTAATATGCCAGAAGCTTTTTCTCAGCAACTTTTTTTTTCCAATTTCAGAGATGATAAAATTTGGACATTAATCTAATCTCTATGAACACTGAGTAATGAAGTTTATTAAGCACCATGGGTAAGAAAATTTGGTAATCTATGCATCCAAGAAATTTTGGTTCTGAGAAAATCGTCCATACTGGGTACGTCCGTACGTACGTCCACCCCTTCCATGTAAGCCGGGATGAAATTTTGCATTTCAAGCACCCCACGCGTTTCGGCGGTAAATCGCATAGCTTCCCGGCCTCTTGGAGATAAAAACATAAAAATTTTATAGCGGCGGTGAGAAAAAGGGGAAATGCTAGCTGCCACCGAGGTGAAAATTAGCGGCAGCGAAAAAAAAGTGAACAGGAACACATAAACATTTCCTCCATAAAACGCGTAACCAGGAAGTTTCTGCAAGTTTCACGTTGTAGTCGTTGCAAAACAACGGCAAAGAAATGTACAAAAAAGCGTGCAAAGTTGTTTTTTGCTAATTAGAAACAAAAATGTGCTGCACTGGCAGAGTTTTTTTTTTGCTAAGTAGACCTACTGATTTTTTTTGGCTGTTTTCGTTGCCTTCGCCTTTTGCCGTTACACGATTCTATACATTTTGTTTAGTAAACTATAGATATTAACGAGTGCCTCGCTTTTAGCCCTGGCTAAATCTTTTTATTAAAAACTGAATCCTTTGATAATGCAATTCTAGAGTTTTGATTGGCTTAGCCATTATGGTATATGAGCCATTATACCATGCTCTCCATATATGGTCGGTGTACGCGTCAGTTTAAAATTGGAAGCTAGCTGAGATTTTTTTTCCGCGAAGGATAGAATGGTGCCCGAAGCAAATCGTTTTCATTCATTTCTTAGAATACTAGAAAATGCAATTTCATCGGGAAAATAACAAAGAAACAAAAAAGCCACAAGAGCTTGTTTGAAAGTTTAACGAAAACACATGAAAATTCATGGAACTAAAGTACCTTGACCAGCTACGAAAGAAGACAAGTGTTGTTTCTTCACTCGCCGATAGATAACTGCGGCTTGTTTATCCGACATGAAGAATATAAATCACAAGCAACCAGAATACAGGCTATGCAGCCATTCACTACAGCAATCGAGCGTCAGTATAGCTTCTTTTTCTCGTTCAGCAAAACCAGCTGGTGGCTTCAAACAACTTCATAACAAGTGACCGAGGTAATAGTTTTTCTCCGTTGTTCTTACTTTTGTAACTGCACCGAAAATCCAAATTCACAGTAATTTCGACGGCTGTTACTTAAAAATTCTTTTTTTCACATTATCTGCCAGGTTTTTTTTAGCTGTCCTGCTGTTTAAATTCCTAAAATTTCGATGAGTTTTTAAAAGTGTTCATCGCCACAATGTTTTGATTTTTCATTCATCCAGTCCAGGCGAGTCCGTTCGCGGGTTGACAGTTTTGATAGACGTGTGACATGTGAATAGCGGAAGTCTCTTGTCTTTTTCGGTTTGTTCTAACAAAATTAAGTCGGGGAGATTCAACGAGATTTTGTGGGCGTTTTTAATAAAACAATTATTCCACTCGCGCTTGCTGGATATGAGATGATTATAGCCAAAGAGGCGCGTAGCGCCGAGTTGGCTATTTACCATTTCATATCTAACGCACCCTCGTGGAATAATTGTTAAATACTAGGAGTAATCGGAGCTTAGAAGAGTGCGTTTGATATGTTTCTAAGGCGTACAGGTAGGGTGGATGGTTATTGCGATAGATTATAGGCGAAAAGCCCAGTTTCCATATGATCGCTACGATCGCTGCGATCGCTGAGAAAAAAAAGTTCAGCGATCATATGGAAACCACTCTCCAGCGATCGCAGCGACAACGATCGCTGAGATAGAACTTTTTATATCTCAGCGATTGTTGTCGCACCCAATAATGCACAGAACACCCAACACAAATTAGGGGTTGCGTTCTCGTACCTCAAACGCAATTACTGATTTGCAAGTGACGTCACGGCGGCCATGTTGGTGATCAAGAACAAAAACATTTCTCTCCTCTGGGAACTAAACTCTATTTTCATGTAAATTCCTCCAAAAGAAAATTATATTGTTTGACCCCCAAAATGGCCGCCTTATCAAGTGGTTGCAAACCAAAAATTAGTTCATTGGTATACAGACCATACTATAGTTTTGAATACAGCCCCAAAAGGGAACTAATTAAAGGAGGAACGGTTGTTGATTTCCCTGCAATTTTAAAATCTAAGCTCTCGTAGACTGGGTATAGCTTTCCGCTCTGGTTACAACTTTCTCAACAAACCCGAGCGGGAACGCTTGTTAGATGTTGTTACGCAGGCTAAAGCTTTCGGGGATTCATTATGAGAGGTTTTCTTTTATGCTGATGGGGCTAATATGCCAGAAGCTTCAAAATCCCATGGTACTTTGAATTCCTTGAAACCTTCGTAAAAAGTAATTTTTTTTGCCTCAGATATCGACGAATGTTCTTCAGGTCACCAGTGTGACAGCAGTGCGACATGTTATAATACTGATGGATCCTACACGTGCACATGTAACAGCGGCTTCACGGGGGATGGGCGAACCTGTCGAGGTACAAGCCTTTGAACAAATACTGAATACTATAAACGACAGCTCTGTAAAGCTTTTTGATAAATTAGGTTAGCTGCCAATAGGTGACATCATACGTATAAAGAAACTTCTCATTCTACATAAAGTGAATCAAGATCGTTGTCCTGATTATTGCACGTCCTATTTCAAACATGTCCGTTCTTCACATGCTCATAGTACTAGATCCGCCATCAATTACAACGTTCTGCCACCTCTCTGTTAAAAAAACTCAGGACTTAGCATAGGAAGTTCGCTAGTGCTTGAGTTTTATAGAATTAGTTAGGTCACTCGTATATAGAGATATAGTTTCCCACGCAATGTTCGGAAAAGTTTACCAATTAAGACAACGCCTCGTTAGCATATTTGAAGGTTTGCAGATCATTTTCAGACATTTATTGAAGTTGTAGACTTTTTATTTATTTGATATTTTTTCATAACTAATTCCTGTTGTGTGGCGGGCCATTATAAAAACTACCCGGTAAACGGTAATGTTTCTATCCTCGCTGTTCTTCTTGTTCTACTTGGTCTTCTTGCTCTTCTTCTACTGATGTCGTTTAAGTAACAAAAAAAGAACTGCGGTGATAACCATAAGGAAATTTAAACGGAAGAAAAAAGGCTTTAACTTGGCGTTTCGTATGTTCCAAACCTACATCTTCGGCGGCGGCCTGTACCCCCCTCCTTAATTTTAGGCTAAACGGAAGCCTGAAGGGTTGTCATGAGTAAAATCATTTTCTCGGCCGAGCCCTCTGATCTGAATTCGCCACTACTTACATGCACAGAATTGAAAGCCATCTCTTCTCAATGGTCTACTACTGTACTTGTTAGGTCTTGAAAATTTCACTCCTGTGACTATGACATTCGTTGAAAAAAAAGAAGGTCCAGCTTAAAACAAAATAAAAGTCTTCTTATCTTCCAGATGTTGATGAATGCTCGCTCAACACCCATGACTGTCACTCCCATGCAATCTGTACTAACACAGAAGGCTCATTTACTTGCAAGTGTGACGTGAATGCACATTACATTGGTGACGGGAAAACATGCACTCCTCCTCGTAAGCCGAATTATATGTTTTACTTCATTTTAATTCTCTTCGTTTTACCACTCTGCCAATTGCTAACTTCTACTTTGTGGGAAAAGTTATCCACCAATATTTATGTCGCCAAAGAGCGACCCCTCACCTGCCTGTCCATTATCTTGATTATGCTCTTGTCCAAGAATATACTCTTAATGAAATTTCAAATGCACCGCAAGCGAGTTTTTCGTGCTTATATTTTTGGTTGCTTCTGACTTTCGTGGGTACTTTAATTTTGAGTGTATTTTAGGCTAACCTCGCCTATATTTTTAATAAGTCAATAGTTTTTGGTTTGGTTTGTTTTGTTGTTTTTTTTTTTTTTCAGGTATAGCAAATACTGGAGTCGTTGTCAGTTTTCGAAAAACAGCATCTTTTAACAGGATGAATTTCTGATTTACTTTCTTTTTACCAGGTGGTCTCGATGACTCCGTTATTTTAGCGAATGATGCCAGCAAGATATCGCAGTTAAATACCTGGCTTCTTCCGCACTTGCAAAGTTCAGAAAGAAGTTATTGGAAACTGTGTTATAGGGCCTCTAATCGTGGCTGGAGTTCACAGACCTTTCACACCTATTGCGATAACAAAGGACCCACTGTAACAATTGTTAGGGTCGGGATCTATATTTTTGGAGGCTACAACGACAATTCATGGCAGTGTAAGTCTTTGAAATAGCTAAGATACGAAGAAGGTATCGAGCAGTTAAACTGAATTAAAACCGGGGGTTATTAACCCCAAATGTAAAAGGAAGGAGAGACTGGGCCTTTACAATTTTCGCAAATAGTTCAAAACAAGTCTAGTCTTAACTAGATTGTCATTAATCACTCGCAATACTGCTAATTGGAGAGGATTGTGTGGTAAGAGTTTAATCAAATACTCGAAACCTGACAATCTAATCCAAAGTCACAACATTGCTGAAGCATGAACTGCATTCTAAAAATTTGCCATCGTTATTATTGAGAAAAAATTTTGACAACCAGTAGTTTTGATTGGCACAATCTGGCACATTTTCCATGCATTATCGGTGATGACAATTGTTTTAGCCACTGGCTCCTCCTTGTACATCGGCTTGGCCGTGCGTTTTCTTGTACGATCGGGGATTAGACGTATCCAGATCTAGAAAAATAAATGTTTGTTCAGCTTAAAACGCTTCGAACATGCCACCAAAAAACTGTGCTGAGTCCTGGGGCTGCTGTATTTACAATTTATTTATTTATTTATTTATTTATTTTTAACAAGCGCGTTTGAGGTGGGGTATGGGGCTTAGTGGAGAAGGTCGGGCTTAATACTGCTGTACTGCAGCTGGTTCTACCAGGTCTTTTTCTTGAAATCTGAGAGGTGTGGACCGCCGTTTCTTTTAAATTTCTAATGGAAAAGCCCTGGGGACGAAGTTGGTGGCAACTTGTGATGCTCCAATTCATGAGGATTTGAGCGTGATTTATGTGGTATTTCACACATTATATACAACCTCCCTGCGCTCAGTATTTACTAACCCACCCCGTTTCCTAAAAATACACCATTTTATAGCTGTGGGCTTAGTATCCTAGACTTTGAGTGAGTGCAAGACTGAGGTTGACCATGATAGATAGATAGTTAGATAGTTTAATTACCAATACTTTGCAGCCCAAAGGCTGAATTGCGTATTTACAAACGATGCAATTGATAAAATGTGTATATAAAACTAATTACAGTAAATAAAAAAGTGTGAAAATGTGATAAAAAAATTAAAAATCTACGTATAGGATCTAATAATAAAACTATTCCTAAAACGATCGGTCTTGCATTTAGGTACAATGAAGCACCTGTTGCACCTTACGAGCATAACAATGTTTTGATACAAACCTCTTTTGTTTTCTTATGGAAATTATACTTAAAAAGTACTAGTTAGAATTAAAAAAAAAACACGATTTACATATTAAGAAAGCAGAAATGGTTGTATCAAAGCAAGGTCCACTCCAGCCTCGTTTCCACCCATAATTGTAAAATGGTCTATTGAACTCGACTGAGTTACACTGAATCTCTACTTGTTTGTGTTCTGTTTTTTGTCTCTTCAGGGTCTGCTGGTTATCAATATTCGACAAATACCTTCTTGTACTCACTGACAAACTACAAAGGGTATGGATACTTCAAACAGGACATAACCAACGGCTACAATAGCGAAGCCACTTACACCTATTATAATTATGGTCCAACCTTTGGTGGGGGCCATGATATGTATATTGCGGACAATGCGGGAGGAAATACCTATTCTCAGTTTAACTGTAACTCGTACCGCAGCGGTCCCCATTGTGACAATTATCTCTGGGTTGGATCACGATACGGGAATAATTTCCGCCCAGATGAGTTGGAGGTTTATTATGAAGTGCTTGCTTGAAACCGGGCGGCAACATAAAACAAAGAAAGCATAAAAAACAAACAAACAAACAGCAACAACAACAATCACAACAAAAACATCAACAAACCAACAAAAATAAGTCACAGCAACAAAAACAGATAAATAATAAGCTCTCCGCCTTTTACTATACCTTTGCTGAGAAAGAAAGCTACCATCTCTTTCATGATATTTTCAAAGTAACGCTACTCATGACAAAAAAGGTGATTAGCAAGTAACGTGTACAAATTATTATATTTGGAGCTTTTGCATTATCAATAGCAGAAGTTTCAACAACAAAATGAGGTGTTAAAGCACCAACAGCGGTTAACCATAGCACTACTAGCTTTGTCCTTATGATGGGCCAGAAGGTATTTTTGTTGGTAGCGTAGTTCCATCTTAGGAATCGATAGGAATTTGCTATAAGGGAGTGTTTTCGGTTGTTAGAACTTATCCCTGTAGGTATTCTTAGGAATCTTGAAGGCCACCTGGTACAACAGTAGCTAGTAGAGCCCCTTTATTGTTCTGGCGTTCCTATATTTTATGACTCTCCTTAGGGACCAATTTAACTGCACCGGGGTTTACCAAATAACGGCAAGTTAAGTGGAGGTTTTAGTAATTTAGTAGCTCGACAGAAAATTCAAGTCTGACGTATTCATGTGGATATACCCACATGAATTTGTCAGAAGTTATTTCCAATACGTATTGCATTGTTTTCTATTTTATGCCGATAGTCCCTTCCAAAACGATTAAACACAGATAGATAGGCACAGGTAAGCTATAAATTAACGCTTGTAGATAGCTATAAAGAGTTTGCCTTCCCAGTAAAATATCCTTGCTTTCTCTTACTGAGCGCAGATCAGTATTTTTCTCAGTATGACGCTCTCGACTAGCTCTCTCTTTAATATAGATCCTTTTGTTTGCAAGCTTGGCCACTTTACCCTTCTATGAGATTGAAGCTATTCAGTAATGCTGTTTTATGCTATTATTATTTTTGTTTTTACCTTTTTAAAGCAGCCAATGTTGTTATGGGCAATGTCATTTATTCTTCATTTAAATGCCAAGAAATAGAACTGAATTGTCTTAGCAAAGTAAAGAGCCTCTATGAGCATAGATGAGTATGGTGTTCAATCCCCGCCGAAACCGAAACTCAACTTGAGTAGCTAACATTAAGTTATAACCCCCAACTTTCAACTTCACGTTTCAACATTCAACAAGTTGATAATTCAACTAACTACCGACATTTAACATGATCACTCGTTCTTGAAAATTAAGCGCGCAGCACTCTACTTCTATACCCAACATGCATGTAAGTTGACTGCAACCAACATTCAACTTGAGAAACCAAAAACCAACAACTTTGCAATTCAGTTCAGTATTCGGTACTCGGGGTTATATATAAGTCTGATCATCTTTTTTGATAGTCCGATGTTAAAAAGATATTAAACTCGTATCAGACGCAATGGGTAGTGAATAATTGCCGTCACGGATTAAACCTCATCGTTGCAAAATCTTGACCTCGTTGCACGGACAGCGTTGTCCGCCAAAATGTATCTTAGTCAAAGGCTGACTTAACAGGCCAACCACAGGGGTTTGTTGTTTCCAGTCTCCGGTCTCCCTGTTCCCTCCTTTTGCACAACCTAGATAGCGGCATCTGTTGCCAGCCACTGTGGAAAAGATATTTAGAGGAACGTTTTCATTAGGTACTCCTAAATCAATATGAGCAACAAGGAGCTCAACAACGATAAAGACTGTTGATAGTGTTATTAAAAAAGCTAATTCAAAAGTTATAATCAAGGGAGGAACTACGAGCTCCAGTCCAACAGGTAGAACAGGTCCAAAGCCTCACATTATCCTTAGAAAACAAGCTGAAGTTTTAAAATTATTGCTTTAAGAGCAATCAAGACTGAGACACATCGCAATTCTCCATAGTTGATGTAGCTTCAGTTTAAGCTGCAATCCATTCTTCGAGATCTGATCACTATTCGTGACAATTTTTCATCCTGTTAAAAACGCTAACGTGCTGGGCCCAGCGTGACAGAACATTGCAGGAAACCTTCACATTTACGGACAAAAATAAAATCGTTTATAATTTTTCAGATCCAGGAGGCACTTTGGAGAAACTTAAACGACCTAAAACCATCATTTAGCCGCATAAAGAGCTTTACATTTCAAAGGGAGAACGCTCTTGCATCAGAGGGCAAATAGTGCCGACCAGAAACAATAATAAACCGCAGAAAATCAACATGCGTGCCACGATCTCTCAGTATGAAATACAAGTGGCAAAAATCACATTTTCTGAGTCAAGACCTTTTTCCTTCAGAGCATAATATACCCGCCAGAGAAAACATTCATTGGAACAAGCAGTATTTTGGCACGAGGTAAAAGTCGTGTGTTGTCTACCGACCCCCTTTTTACACTAGGGGAGAACGGGTACTGGAAACAACTCCTGTGATTGGCCTGTTACGTCAGCGTTTGACATAAGATACATCTGGGCGGACATTTTACGCTGTCTGTACAAAGAAGTTGAGATTTCGCTACGATGATGTTGACAATTATGATGATGATGACAATTATTCTCGCCGTGACATACGACCCATCGCGTCTGATACGAGTTCAATATCTTTTTAACATCAGATTATGAAAAGAGATGGCCAGATTTATATACTGACACCGAGCACTGAATACTGAATTTGTTTTTTCTTTTTTTTTTTTTTACTTTTCAAACTTTTATGAAATACTCCACAGCGTTAAAATACTAACGTTACATGACATTGCATGATATTACGTTACAATAAATTACAAATACATTACATCACATTACACTATAAACTTTAACGGTAAAGTAACTATACAAAAAATGAATAATTACAGACGACACTAGGGTACAGAGTCCAAAGGCAGAGCCCACTTCTTATTAAATTTGTCCATTTTATTAGTTTTAACACATACCGTAAACTGCCGCTTATAAGCCCCCTCGGTTATAGGCCCACCTACATGCAAACAAAACTGAAAAAAATACATCCGATTATAAGCCCATCCGGATATAAGCCCCCCTCCAGTTTTTGTTTTTGATTTTTTTTTAATTTAACTGACTTCAATTTATTGCTGCCTTTTTAAGGCTTCAATTGTAAGAATAATAAATTTAAATCATACGTCGATCAACAGTGCTTTTGCTCATTTCGAAACGTTTTTTTTTTCGTCCGCTTATAAGCCCATCCGGATATAAGCCCCCCCCCGTTTATAAGCCCACCTAAAACCCCTTACGAACTTTGTATAAGCCCAGGGCTTATAAGCGGCAGTTTACGGTACGTACTTTTCTGTTCCATACTTAATTTTAACCTTGGATGAAAAGGCAGTTATGACTGGAAGAGTCTGATTTCTTCTACAACCTCATAAGGATAGTTTACAGAGTTTAGCGATCAGTATCAAATAATTCAGTAATGGGCAATTTGTATATAGTATTCCTGTAATAACGTCTTGTAATGTCAGACAGACGAATTCTCTTGTCAATGTGTAATAGTAATCTTGAAATTCCTTCCAAAACTGCTTGGTGTGTCTGCTGCATTCGAAAAAGATGTGGTAAAGGGATTCCTAATCTGTTTTGCATAGTGAACATTTATCATCTTGAGTATAACCTATTTTGCATAACTTCTTATTGGTAAATAAAATTGAATTAAGGACTTTGTACTGAAAAGCTTTTAGATAAGGTTCAAAGGGTACCTCATATGTGGAAGAAGGAATACTTTTTTCAGCTGGTCTTGCGTTATATAGCCTGCGAGCAAGTTCTCCTATTTGGGCAAGCGAAGGGAGCCTCGCGAGAACGCGCGAGCGAGGGGCCTCCCAAATAGGAGAGCTTGCTCGCAGGCTATGCGTTAGATTGAAATCTTGACACAAGTGTCTGGAGTTTTTTGGACACTGAGCAATTATTCTTTTAATTAGCATGTAGTAATCTTTAGATTTCTTTTCTAATATATCAAATTCTTTGTTATCGATTGTCAATATTAAGCTTATTTCTGAGCAAAGACAATTGCTATGATGTTTCGGAATAGAGTGACTAATGTGTGCTAATTTTATTCGAAACAATAGTAAAAGAATTTGTGGTGTCTAATTCAAACAAAAGACGAAAATGACATCTTGTTCAAAAAGTTTTTTTTTTATAGAACACAGGCTTGTTATCAACACGTATCTCTTTGTTATTCCACAAAATATATTGACATTGCCTTCTACTATCGAAAACACTACGAAACTCGGACCACCATTGAAGTAACTCCGAATAGAATTTACAGGAAATATGTATCTCTCTAATGTCATAATTACAATGAAATAAAAAGAGGCCCCCAAAATGAATACTGAAATTGCAAAGTTGGTTTTTGGTTTTTCAAGTTGAATGTTGGTTACTCAGCTTACATGTTGTGTGTACAATTAGAATGCTGCGCGCTCAATTTTCAAGAACGAGTGATCATGTTACACTGTAATAGTGCGGCTCATAAACACAACGTATTTCCTATGCATTTTTT